ATAAGCACATTCAGATATAATTGGTAAATTTATTCCGAAATCAACGATTTTGGCAAATCCCTCCGTAAAATCCGATGATAAACAAAAGAGCTTCTTAAATGGACCTTAAAGCGAACCTGACGTATATTTTACCATGGCTGTTCTCGAGGATTGGTAGCATTCCAATAAAATGTTGAAAGAACATGCGAATGTATACGGATTGATGACATCAACATGAAAATATGCACATATGGAGTGAAAACTAAATAGGAAAGTAGGTCAGTAAGGGATTAATTATGCAATGATTGTAAATGTTGTTTGTTGTACCCTCCCCTGTACTCATTCTAACTTCTTCTATCAATGAAACGATACACAAGCTTTGCGTATTCGTGATTTTTTGTTGTTGTAAATGATTCGGAGATGGCCTAAGTCTGGATGAGAATACAAATTTGGAATAAAATATTTTGGATAGCTAAAGAAATGAAGTACATTCAAACTCAGTAGCCATTGCGCGTGCAATGTTGTGGATCAATAATACAAGAAACAAACTCTCCAAACTTATGGGGGCTGGTGGACGTTGGGTGTTTGTGGATCTGATGATGCCTATGGTCTTCGGCCGAATTACTCTCGTTCGGGTGTCTTGGGGATGTAGCAGTGTGGGGGCTGGTGGACGTCAGGTGTTGGGCATGGTTGTTAGGTGATCATGTGCTTATGGGATTGCATGTTGTGTGAATAGTCCACGTGTGATTGGTCTGTATCGGTTTTCATCCGGGTTTTCTTTAATTAACTGGACAATTCTCTTCTTAATTAATCGGTTAGGCAATTTTTTTTACCTCCGTTCCGAAATAAAACTAAGACTTATATGTCTCGAGATCTCTTCTCAATGGACCATGGTATCAATCCTGCCAGATGCTTCACTGAACATATTCTAATTACTGATGCAAAAAATAATAATATTCTAATTAGATCGGGTTAGCGACCACAACTCTTACACCTACACGAACTTTACTACTGAGCTCATACGGTGCTCCTAATTTTCTTAAGATAGAAAGGTAACAAAGCATCTTCAGCAGTCCCCGTATTAAAAAAAACATGTGTAGGGAGAATGAAGGCAAAAAAGATCTGCTCAAGCAGTTTTCCTAAACACCAATTCTTTCGGTCTCTTCCTAAAAACGCCCCATCTCTCCTCAAATAGAGACCGAGTTGCAAGTCTCCCAATAATTTTTCAACCCATGCCATGTCAGTGTGCCGCCACTAATGATTGTCGCGCCGCCACTGCTGGTGCCCGCGACCACTGTCCACCACTCCGTCGCTGCCGCTGCCTCGCCGGCCGTCACCTTCCTCTCCGCTGATGTCTTACGTGTACTCGATAGAGAAAGAAAAGAGAAATTAGTCACTGACAGATGGGCCTCACATTTTAGGGTAAAGTATAGGAAGAGTTTTATACGGAAACTGCTACAACCTTACACCTTTCGTTCCTAATAAATTTATTGAAAGCATCCCTAAATGCACGTGTAGGGATAGGTTTTTGAGAAAACCACTGGAAATGCGTTTATAGAATCTACAACCGGGCTCCCCAAAGCTCCCCTATACATCCGGCCGGACACTACAGTCACTGATCGGTTAAAAACACCTGACCCAGACAGGCTCCTTATACCAACCCTAAACGCCCGGGCTGACCAGCCCCCCCTAATATCCAGCCCTAATCTGGGGCGGATATGGGGAGGCCCGGGCGTGCCCGAGCGTGTCCGCCACATCGGACTCAACAGGCAAGACCCACCACAAATTATACAAAATCTACCCCGACCTGTCGGACCAACCATTTCCCTCTCCTTACTTCTCCCTTGTCCATGCCGGCTCTCCCCTAGCTTCGCCGCCACCCTTGTTCCGTTGTCGTACCAAGCCCTCAGCTCCACCAACACCGCCACAACACTCCTCCCCTCCACTCTCGCCGCCACGGTACATCCGTCTTACCCTCGGACTGTGTCTTACCCTCAATGTGTTCGACACACTGTCAGATGGTTTGTGGGATGAGGAGTATGGACAGATGGAGCTTGATGAGGTAATTCAAAAGGAGTTGTTTGATTCGTCAGATTCGAACAAAGAAGCGGAGATGATGATGATCATGAGCACCCCACGGGAAATGGATCGGGAGGTGAAGCACATTATAAACTTCAAGGGTTCGATCAAAGGGAGAAGAGTTCTAAACCGGGATCAGGCCTCTGGAGCATGACTGCTCTACAAGGACTGCTTTGATCTCGCACCAACATTCCCTTGTGAATGGTTTCGTCGATGCTTCCGTATGCGCAAACCCTTATTCTTGCACGTGGTGGTGGGAACGAAGGCACACGATCCCTACTTCAAGCTCACCAGGGATTGTTGCGGACAATTGTAGTTCTGTGCTAAGAAGAAATGCACGGATGCTATGATGATGCTTGCACTTGGCACCGCCGTCGATGCCGTTGGTGAGATGGTCCAGATGGGGAAGAGCACATGCTTAAAGACAACTGTCAAGTTTGCCCGCGCCTTGGTGGAGGTGATTGGAGCAGAGTATCTAAGAGAACCAAATGTGCATGACATAGAAAAGTTACTGGCTATTAGAGAGGCAAGGGGGTTTCTACAAATGCTCGGTCCAATTGATTGCATGCATTGGCAACGGAAGAACCGCCCCAAAGGTTTGCGCGGGATGTACCAAGGTCACACCAAAGAGGGCACCATCATAATGGAAGCAGTGGCATCACATGACTTGTGGATTTGGTATGCTTTCTTTGGAATGGCCGATTCTCACAACGACATCAATGTGCTTCAGCAATTTCCCGTGTCCAGGAGACTTTGAATGGGGAATCGCCGTCGTGCAACTTCACTGTCAATGGTCGCGGCTACAACATGTGGTACTACCTTGCCGATGGTATCTATCCGAGTGGACGAAGTTTGTTAAGACCATATCTGGTCCCCACGGTAACAAACAAACCCACTTTGCAACAATGCAAGAAGCAGTTAGGAAGGATATTGAGAGGGCATTCAAAGTGCTCCAAGCTCGTTTGAAAATTGTTCGCGGAGCTGCAATGATGTGAAAATCAGAGACTTTGTGCCAACTGATAGCATGTTGTGTCATTTTGCATAATATGATTGTCGAGGACGAGGGTGAAGGGGCAAACCGAAATCATGATTTTGACAAGTCTGGAGAATCCACATCCCAGAGCAACAAGATGCAGACCACCTTATCAATTTTCTGTAAATGCATCAGAATCTTCGAGATCATTAGGTGCATGTGCAACTACTCAATGATCTTGTGGAGCATAGGTGGACCCACAATCAAAACCAATGAATTGTGCTCTTAAAATAAATTTTATGTTCAAACTCTGTATTTTTGCTACAAATAATTGTATTTACGTGTGATATTCACATGTATGATGGACTTGCATGAATTTGAG